TAAATATGTTTAGATTCAGCTAATTTGTACTGAATAGTGGGACATGATGACGACCTTAAAATTCTTAAAAATTAATAAACTTCTCTTTGTTAGGTAAGGTAAATCAGATGAGCAAGCAGTAACAAAACCCTGACTTGTTTGAATGAGTTAAAAATAATGGAAATTTGTCAATAAGAGATAGGACTTTATTTCTACTTAAACAGCTTTGGGGGAGATAGATGTATAGCAAGGTGTCCTCATTCTCAAGCATAGAAACTGGGAGTATTAAAAGAAGACTGAACCCAGGCCAAGGGGTCAAATCACCAAGATGTACATCTTATTCTCAAAGAGGCTTTGAATCTTGATTAAACAACTTCTTATTTCTCCTCAGAAAAAGCCACAGAAAATAGGGACCCAGAAAAAAAATCAAGTCATGATTTGAGAAAGGTTATAAATATAATATCTATAGAAAGGCATATCCAACCCAGGGGAGAACATTTGGACCAAAAGTGTAGGGCTATAAATTGGAGAATGGGGGATATGCAATGGTGCCAGTACTTCCTTTGTCCACTTTAAAAAGGCCTGTTATCCTTTTCTCAAGAGCATTATGTTAAAGCATGCTTAATTTCATCAAACCATACAGGTAGGCTAGGCTCACTCACCACAAAAGGACAGACTAAGTAAAAGATTATGGATAGGAGAAACAGCTATTTTTGTCATTTGTAGACAATTTGCCCAAAATCCTAACCATTAACTAACTTTTACATGGAAATAAGAAAAAATATTTCAAAATTGGCAGAGAAAAATCCTAGTCCATCTTTCAGAACACCACTATTCTACAAAATGACAATTTATGAATCACAGTTCTAATCAACCTCTTCCAACTATGGAACTGAGAGACTAAATGTGTTGCCAAGATCAACCAGGTAATTAGTAGCAGATTCTGAACATGAGACCAAGTCGCCTTATTATCAGTCCACTACTGGTTTCCTTTTATAGACACTGCACATATATGGCTTTGAGTAAGAAAGGTAGGTTAAAACTGAACATATTGTCTGGCAATGTAAGGTTGTTTATATTTTCGTTGTGAAGGATATTTTACTGTTTTTAAGTTTGTTTTACCCATGAAAACAGTTATCAACTCCAAAATATGAATGTATATCTGATTTACAGATGTCAACACAACAAGGCATCTGAATGAGACTTCTGCTTTGAGGTGCTGGATGTATAAATTTAAAAGTATGTAATGAAATTCCTACACATTTTATTTTTCTTTTATTTTTATTATTTTTTAAAGTAATGTAATGTATTATTTGTTTCGGGGTACAGGTCTGTGATTCAACAGTCTTACACAATTCATAGTGCTCACCATAGCACATACCCTCCCCAGTGTCCATCACCCAGCCACACCATTCCTCCCACCCCTCTTCACTCCAACAATCCTCAGTTTGTTTCCTGAGATTAAGAGTCTTTTATGGTGGGGTACCTGGGTGGCTCAGTTGTTAAGGGTCTGCCTTCAGCTCAGGTCATGATCCCAGCATCCTGGGATCGAGCCCCGCATCGGGCTCCCTGCTCTGCGGGAAGCCTGCTTCTCCCTCTCCCACTCCTCCTGCTTGTGTTCCCGCTCTTCCTGTCTCTCTGTCCGCCAAATAAACAAATAAAATCTTAACACACACAAAAAAGAGTCTCTTATGGTTTCTCTCCCTCTCTGGTTTTATCTTGTTTCATTTTTCCCTCCCTTCCCCTATGATCCTCTGCCTTGTTTCTCAAATTCTTCATATAAGTGAGATCATATGAAAATTGTCTTTCTCTGATTGATTTATTTCACTAAGCATAATACCTTCTAGTTCCATCCATGTCATCACAAAGGCAAGATTTTGGTTTTTTTGATGGCTACGTAATATTCCAATAGTGTGTGTGTGTGTGTGTGTGTGTGTGTGTGTGTGTGTGTGTGTGTGTGTGTATTTATCACATCTTCTTTATCCATTCATCTGTTGATGGACATCTAGGCTCTTTCCATAGTTTGGCTATTGTGGACATTGCTGCTATAAACATTGAGGTGCAGGTGCTCCTTCAGATCACTACATTTGTATCTTTGGGGCAAATACCCCGTAGTGCAATTGCTGTGTTGTAGGGTAGCTCTATTTTCAACTTTTTGAGGAACTTCCATACTGCTTTCCAGAATGGCTGCACTAGCTTGCATTCCCACCAACAGTGTAGGAGGGTTCCCCTTTCTCCACATCCTCGCCAACATGTTGTTTCCTGACTCGTTAATTTTAGCCATTCTGACTAGTGTTAGGTGGTATCTCATTGAGGTTTTGATTTGGATTTCCCTGATGCTGAGTGATGTTGAGCACTTTTTCATGTGTCTGTTGGCCATTTATATGTCTTCTTTGCAGAAATGTCTGTTCATGTCTTCTGCCCATTTCTTGATTGGATCATTTGTTCTTTGGGTTTTGAGTTTCATAAGTTCTTTATAGATTTTGGATACTAGCCCTTTATCTGTCATTTGCCAATACCTTCTCCCATTCTGTCTGTCTGTCAACAAATCTTTTGGATTTGTTGACTGTTTCCTTTACTGTGCAAAAGTTTTTTATCTTGATGAAGTCCCAATAGTTCATTTTTGCCCTTACTTCCCTTGCCTTTGGCAATGTTTCTAGGAAGAAGTTGCTGTGGCTGAGGGCAAAGAGGTTGCTGCCTGTGTTCTCCTCTAGGATTTTGATGGGTTTCTGTCTCACATTTAGGTCTTTCATCCATTGTGGGTCTATTTTTGTGTATGGTGTTATGTGTCTGTTTTTGTGCCAGTACCCTGCTGTATTGATGATTACAGCTTTGTAATAGAGCTTGGAAGTCTGGAATTACGATGCCACCGGCTTTTCTTTTCTTTCTTTTTTTTTTTTTAAAGGATTTTATTTATTTATATGCCAGACAGAGAAGGAGAGTACAAGCAGGGGAAGTGGCAGGCAGAGGGAGAAGCAGGCTCCCCGCTAAGGAAGGAGCCCAGTGTGGGACTCAATTCCAGGACCTCGAGATCACAACCTGAGCCGAAGGCAGACAGATGCTCAACCATCTGAGCCACCCAGGCGCCCCGGCTTTGCTTTTCTTTTTCAACATTCCTCTGGCTATTCGGGGTCTTTTCTGGTTCCATATAAATTTTAGGATTATGTTCCATTTCTTTGAAAAAAGTAGATGATATTTTGATAGGGATTGCATTGAATGTGTAGATTGCTCTAGGTAGCATAGACATTTTCACAATATTTGTTCTTCCAATCCATGAGCGTGGACCATTCTTCCATTTCTTTGTGTCTTCCTCAATTTCTTTCATGAGTATTCTATAGTTTTCTGAGTACAGATCCTTTGCCTCTTTGGTTAGATTTATTCCTAGGTATCTTACAGTTTTGGGTGCAATTGTAAATGGGACTGACTCCTTGACTTCTCTTTCTTCTGTCTTGTTCTTGGTGTATAGAAATTCAACTGATTTCTGTGCACTGACTTTATATCCTGCCAATTTACTGAATTCCTGTATAAGTTCTAGCAGTTTTGGGGTGGAGTCTTTTGGGTTTTCCACATAAAGTATCAGATCATCTGCAAAGAGTGAGACTTCAGCTTTCTTCTTTGCCAGTTCAATGCCTTTTATTTTGTTGTTGTTGTTGTTGTCTGATTGCTGAGGCTAGGACTTCTAGTACTATGTTGAACAGCAGTGGTGATAGTGGACATCCCTGCTATGTTCCGACCTTAGAGGGAAAGCTCTCAGTTTTTCTCCACTGAAAATGATATTCACTGTGGGTTTTTCATAGACAGCTTTTATGATATTGAGGTATGTACCTCTGTCCCTACACTGTGAAGAGTTTTAATCAAGAAAGGATGCTGTACTTTGTCAAATGCTTTTTCTGCATCTATTGAGAGAATCATAGGACTCTTGTTCTTTCTTTTATTAATGTATTGTATCACATTGATTGATTTGTAGATGTTGAACCAACCTTGCAGCCCAGGAATAAATCCCACTTGGTCATGGTGAATAATCCTTTTAATGTACTGTTGCATCCTGTTGGCTAGTCTTTTGGTGAGAATTTTTGCATCCATGTTCATCAGGGATATTGGTCTGTAATTCTCCTTTTTGGTGGGGTCTTTGTCTGGTTTTGGTTAAGGTAATGCTGGCCTCAGAAAATCAGTCTGGAAGTTTTCCTTCCATTTCTATTTTTTTGAACAGCTTCAGAAGAACAGGTATTAATTCTTCTTTAAATGTTTGGTAGAATTCCCCTGGGAAGCCATCTGGCCCTGGGTTCTTTGCTGGGAGATTTTTGATTATTGCCTCCATTTCCTTACTGGTTATGGGTCTGTTCAGGTTTTCTATTTCTTCCTGGTTCAGTTTTGGTAGTTTATACTTCTCTAGAAATGCATCCATTTCTTCCAGATTGTCTGATTTGCTGGCATATTCCTACACATTTTCATTTCTCGTTACTTAAGAACACAAATTCTTTTAATCAATCCTATTCACTGGTTATTATACTAACAAAAACATAAAACAAACATTTGATTATAAATATATCCATTGTCATTTACTGTAACAGGTACTTAGTCCTTATGTAAAACACAAACTTCTCAAGTCCTCTTAAACAAATCAAAAGATACATTATAAAGTAAAAGAAAAATGATAATTTTATAGGTAAACAAAAAACCAAGAATATACACAGAATAAGATAGTAGTTTTTAAATTATCAATATGCAAACAAAATACCTATAGCACACTAAGGAGATTCTGTAAGACTTTTAGACAAGGGAATACAATATAATGAGGGGGAAACATAACATAACTTTTAAAACATGACCATTACTTACTTTACTTCAGGAAATTTGCTTTCAAAGTAACAAAATATGTTCTAATAGGTTTAAGTAAACCTATTAGGTTCTAATTTATTTAAATAAAATAACTATTTTTTAAAATTTCATTTGTTCAAAAAAAAATAAAATTTCATTTGTTCTAAAAATGCTTAGTGTAACCAGTTAATTTCTATGTTTACCTGAAGGAATGCATCTTTTCGACTTGTAGGGATGCTCATGAAAAGTATCGCATAACTTTCTGAAATTCTGTCAAACAAGGAATCTTGATTTTCTCTGTCAGGCTTAAAAAATAAAACATGTATGAGATTAAAAACATAAATATTACAATTTAAAATTGGAATTTGTACACATAATGTCAGTAATTTTATTTATTCTTAAAAGGCAGATCAGTTGCTGCAGTGAGAATGAGCATGGGTTTGGTACCATGCAGAGCTGAATTTGAATACTGGCTTTGTCATTCATTAGTTGCCTTACCCTGGGCTAGTTAATCAGTCTTAGTTTCCTCATCTGCCAAATGTATGTAAAATATACATATGTAGTAAAATAAGGACAAGAATCATGTTTAGTTTGGCTTTGTAATTCAAGCACTTAGCACAGTGCCTGGCACACAGAAAGCATGCAAACATTTGATGAGTTAATTGAAGGTGCCTGCATTAAAGCTGGCATGTAGAGGCAATCAATGATTATTACTTTCTCTTGTCCTATATCTGCTCCAACTCTATCATTATCCAGTAACTCAGTATGAAATTAAAGCACTTACTAGGATGAGACAAGCACAGCCAGAACTAGTAAAATTGTGACATGATGGCTAAACTAAGACATAGTAAATATGTTGTAAGAAGAAAGAATGTATAGACAATAATAATGTCAATATTAAAGTCCTGATAGGATGAGCTTGGGAAAATGACGTAGTAGGGAGTTCCTGAGCTCACCCCATCCACATTTACAATTAGATACCATCCATATCCAAGTTAGTAAACCAGAGCTCAATCTGAAGACTGGCAGAACGAACTCTGCAACTAAATTTAGAGACGAAATTGCTCTGAAACATTAGGAAGGTCAGAAAGGTGGAGAGAGACTGCCCTCAGGAGGGAGGGAGCTGCTTGCCTGAAGAGGGCAGAGAAATGGGCTCTCACAACAGGCAGCTCACACAGGGAAAACTAATCTCCATAACATTTGGCTTTAAAAACTGAAAGGGCTGAACTCCTCCTGTTTGTATAACCAGTGCTTTAAAAGTCACCTGCCTCAGCATTGGGTGAGCCAGGAGGTCAAGTGATAGCTGAGTCATCACCCTTAAAGGGACAGCAGCCTGTACAAAGAGGCAACATAAAAATGACAGTTTACACAAGGCTGGGGGCAAATGGGAAACAAATCTGTTCATACTGACTTCAGATGTGTTGGTGGACTTCTCCCAAAATGAGGGAGCTGGCAGGCGCCTTTTCCTTCCTCACTTCCCAGCATAAATACAAAACCACCTGCGGGAGGCAAGGCGATAAAGACACTTATAGCCTTGGCCCAGGGCCCAGGGCTCAGGGCAAATTTTGTTAAAGCTGCGTGTGTGCCTTGTCCAGCAGCACAGCTGCTGCTGTGTGCCACACCCAGCCACCACACCATGCCTAGCTGCATGCCCCTAGCCACTATCACATGCTGGGCCCAGCCTTATGCTCCCAGCAGCCCTGGCACACAGTTCTCAGGTAAAGCAGCACGTTGGGGGATCCAGCATAGGCCTAGTGGCCCAATGCAAATCTTGCTAACACTGTTGCCCCACTTCCAAGTTCCCCTGCAGGCAAGTCCCCTCAGAACTGGCCTGCCTGAGTCCCACCTACACCACAGAGAGGAAGCACAGCCCACAACAGGCAGAGTCAGTACAAATGACTGCACAGAAAGGAAACGTGACTCAAACACAACAGCAGGTTATAAGCAAAACAGATAGGATACTCTCCTTAAGTGCCAGGTTCTGGTGAACAGGGGACACTGCACTGTAGGGCACTCTAGGGTCTCCCCTTCATAAAGTCACTACTTTCAAGAGCAGAAGACATAGCTGACTCTCTTAACACAGAGAGGTAGACAAAATGAGAAGACAGAGAAATTTATCCCAAATGAAAGAACAGGACAAGGCCATAACCAGAGATCTAAGCAAAACAGATATAAGTAACACACCTGATGAAGCATTTAAAATAATGATCATAAGGATACTCATTGGAATTGAGAAGAGTGGAAGATATGAGTGAGAGCCTTAACACAGAGATAAGGAATAACATAGTGGAGATAAAGGGCTCAGTAAATGAAATGAGAAAGACACTTGATGGAATGAATAACAGGATGTCAGAAGCAGAAGAATGAATCAATGAGAGAGAAGACAGAGTAATGGAAAGTAATCAAGCTTAACAAAAGAGAGAAAAAAGTTATGCAAAACTAGAAAAGACTTGGGAACTCAATGACTCCATCAAATGCAATAATATTCGTATTATAGGAGTCCCAAAAAAAGAGAAAAAAGGGGCAGAAAATTTATTTGAAGAAATAACAGTTGAAAACTTCCCTACTCTGGGGAAGGAAACAAATGTCCAGATCCAGGAGACACTAAGACTCCTATCAAAATCAATAAAAGCAGACCCACACCAGACATATTATAATTAATTTTGCAAAATATAGTGATAAAGAAAAAAAAATCTCAAAAGCAGCAAGACAAAAGAAGTCAGTAACTTACAAGGGAAAACCCATAGCGTTAGCAGGAAATTTTACAACAGAAACTTTTTAAGCCAGAAGAAGAGAGTGGCATGATATATTCAAAGTGCTGAAGGGGAACAATCTGCAGCCAGGAATACCCTATTCAACAAGACTATCATTCAGAGTATACGGAGAGATAAAGAGTTTCCCAGACAAACCAAAACTAAAGGAGTTTGTGACCACTAAATCAGCCCCGCAAGAAATACTAAAGGGGACTCTTTGAGTGGAAAGGAGAGACCAAAAGTGACAGTATAACACAAAACAGGGAACACAAAAGTAATAAAAATGAATATTTCTATAAAAAATAGTCAAGGACATAAAATATACAATATACCTAAAATGTGGGTAGAGGGGAGGAATAGGTTCAAATTTTAACAACCATCAATTTAATATGGACTGATATATGCAGAAGAGGTTGTATGCAAACCTAATGGTAACAATATGCCAAAACAACTAATAAATATACCAAAAACAAAGGGAAAAAATCCAAATATATCACTAAAAAAATCACCAAAACATGAGAGAAAGACAAGAAAGGATCAGAGAAAATCTTCAAAGACAACCACAAAACAAGTAATGAAATGGCAACAAATGCATATCTATCAATAGTTACCCTAAATTTAAATGGACTAAATGCTCCAATCAAAATACATAGGGTGACAGAATGGATAAAAAAAAAATAAGACCCACCTATATGCTGCCTACAAGAGACACATTTTAGACTTAAGGTATCTGCAGATTCAAAGTGAAGGGATGGAGAAACAGCTATTATGCAAAGGATGTGGATGTCAAAAGAAAGCCAGAGTAGCAATAGTTAAATATAGGACAAAACAGACTTTAAAACAAAGGTTGTAACAAGAGGCAAAGAAGGACATGATACAATAATAAAGGGGACAATCCAACAAGAAGATATAACAATTGTAAATATTGATGCACCCAACATAGGAGTATCCAGATACATAAAATAGTTAACAACCATAAAGGAACTAATCAGTAATATAATAGTAGTAGAAGACTTTAACACCCCATTTATATCAATGGACAGATCATATAGACAGAAAATCAACAAGGAAAAAATAGCTTTGAATGACGTACTGGACTAGATGGGTTTAACAGATATAGTCAGAACATCCCACCCTAAAACAGCAGAATACAGATTCTTTTCAAGTGCACATGGAACATTCTCCAGAATAGATAACATATTAGCCCAGAAAACCAGCCTCAACAAATTTAAGATCGAAGTCATACCATGCATCTTTTCTGATCACAATGCTATGAGAATAGAAGTCAACCAAAGGAAAAAATCTAGAAAGACCACAAATAAATGGAGGTTAAATAGAATGCTACTAAACAATGAATGGATCAACCAGGAAATAAAATAAGAAATAAAAAAGTACAAGGAAACAAATGAAAATGAAAACACAGCGGTCCAAAAACCTTGGGATGCAACAAAAGTGTTTCTAAGAAGGAAGTTTATAGCAATACAGTCCTATCTCAAGAAAGAAGAAAAATCTCAAATAAACAACAAAACCTTACATCTAAAGGAGCTAGAAAAAGAACAACAAATAAAATCTAAAACCAGCAGAAGGAAGGAAATATAAAGATTAGAGCAGAAATAAATGATACAAAAACTAAAAAAAAAAAAAAAAAAAAAAAATAATAGACGAGATCAAAGAAACCAGGAGCTGATTCTTGGAAAAAAAAAAAAAATCAATAAAATTAATAAACTTCTTCTTTGCTGATTTGGATGCCTTTTATTTCTTTTTGTTGTCTGATTGCTGAGGCTAGGATTTTTAGTACTATTTTGAATAGCAGTGGTAATAGTGGACATCCCCGCTGTGTTCCTGACCTTGGGGGAAAAGGTCTCTTTTTTTTTTTCCCATTAAGAATGGTATCCGCTGTGGGTTTTTCATAGATGGCTTTTATGATATTGAAGTATGTACCTCTATCCCTAGCACTGTGAAGAGTTTTAATCAAGAAAGGATGCTGTACTTTGTCAAATGCTTTTTCCGCATCTATCGAGAGGATCATATGGCTCTTGTTCTTTCTCTTACCAATGTAGTATATCACATTGATTGATTTGCAGATGTTGAACCAAACTTGCAGCCCAGGAATAAATCCCACTTGGTCATGGTGAATAATCCTTTTAATGTACTGTTGGACCCTATTGGCTATTTTGGTGAAAAATTTTTGCATCCATGTTCATCAGGGATATTGGTCTGTAATTCTCCTTTTTGATGGGGTCTTTGGTTTTGGTCAAGGTAATGCTGGCTTCATAAAACGAGTTTGGAAAATTTCCTTCCATTTCTATTTTTTGGAACAGTTTCAGAAGAATAGGTATTAATTCTTCTTTAAATGTTTGGTAGAATTCCCCTGGGAAGCCATCTGGCCCTGGGCTCTTGTTTGTTGGGAGATTTTTGATGACTGCTTCAATTTCCTTACTGGTTATGGGTCTGTTCAGGTTTTCTATTTCTTCCTGGTTCAGTTTTAGTAGGTTATACTTCTCCAGGAATGCATCCATTTCTTCCAGATTGCCTAATTTGTTGGCATATAG